TTACTGGGCTGAATGGACATGGATGGGGGTGGGTGAGGGCTAGATTGAAAAGCTTGTAAGCAGTGTTTCTGACATTTCAGTGATGAGAAAGAAAATTTCTTGTTCCCAGTGCACATCTGGATTATGTGATTATAGCCAATCAATCACTAGCATGAAGGGAACCTGTAAGAAAGTTGTCACATAGAGTGGTAAGAATTTGGTGTGATCCTGCATTCTCAGGCACAAAGGAGTTGTGCAGTGTAACATCAGCCCAGTTCTTAGAGTCCGTCCATCGATAGTTTCCACCAGCATTGGTCTTTCTAATGTCTGAGTAGAAAACTTGAACTCTTCTACTGGAACTCATCTATGAAATTGGTTGTTGTCCCCAAGTCTACAAGGGCAGAGAATCCTATCTTTTGGTCTGAGTCTAAACAGAGCCACAGAAATAATAAAAATGTGTTTGCCTGCTGCCTGAGCTCTCATTAATTGCCTAAGGGCCTCTCTATGGAGCGTTGGGAAAGGGGCCTGCAAAGTTTCCTGATGCCAAGGCCTTGGAGTGATTCATACTGTTGCTTGCTATCTGGTCAGCAGATCCACAGCTTTAGCCTTTTGCAGCTGAGTCAGAAGTATGAGCTTTATCTGTGCAAGGTCTGGCTACATGGCCAAGGGCTCTGCAGTAGAATCATAAACCAAGATCTCTCATTCTTTGTTTCTCTCCTGCTGATAGAGATCCCTTGATTACTTCAATGTGCATGGGCTCTGTGGTGTTGGATTTTGAGGAGGCCATTGGGAGAAGGCCTGTGGGTGAAGAGAGACTGTAAAACATCCTCCCCTTGCCATTTCTCCCCTGTCTCAACTCTTCCAATTGGCCATCTATTACCACATCGAACCATAGAACAGCTCCTCCAAATTATCTGGGGTTCTTTGTCTCACCAATTCATCTCTCAGCTCATCAGCAAACCCTTCTCTGCACTGTGAACAGCCCCAAATCATTCCATCCCATATCCCTGACAAATAATTTAAAATCTGGTATGTACACTCTCACTCTGCATTGACCTTGTTTGAGTCTGCAATTTCCCAGTTGACTGTTGATTACCTAGCGGAATTATCAGATGAGTCTAAACCTTTGCAAGAAATACTTATAATTATTTATACAGGGTCATTGCCCTCAAGATGGGTACTGCTCATTTGGCTGCCCTCTTTCAGAAAATCAACATAAAAGTTATTTTGATGGGATCTGTAGAAAATCCTACTGGCTGACTCATCATAAACAGTTCACACTGCATTGTGATGGTCAGAAATTGGTCCTGGTCTCCTCTGGACTTCTCTGATAAACTCCCATGAGAGCACAGAAATACTGGCAGTCCTGCAGGTTGCTGTACCACTGCTGGCTGAGGCAAACTCTGTCCAACATGCTGCATTAGTTGCATATGACATTTTGCAGGTTGGTTATCTGTAAATCCATCTGTTGTTGGTGTTGTAATAAAGTTGCAGCAAGGTGCTCCATGGACATTGGAGTGCTCTGAGGGTCAGAGGCCATCTCCAGTAACTTAGGTATGATCCTTTGCCTCTCTTGAAATAGAGTAGGAGCCTTGATAGATTGTTGTCAGCCCTTTGGGATAGACCAGATCAGAAAACAGACTCCATAGGA